GTTGCGCCTTCTCCTACAGCACATCCATCTTCGTCGAATACAACGTCAGGGTTAAAACAACCAGCGATGGCGCCTCCAAGTACATCTGAGACACCTTTGCGTGGAGCTTCCTTGCCTCCACTTTCTGGCTTGAACCCCATTAAGCCAACAAATGCAAGTACAACGCTTCCGTCAATCCCAACGAAAATCTCTTTCCCATTCCTTCCGCCACCATCTACCAAAACTAGGCCTTGAAATAACTTATATTTTCAATTGCCTAGCATGCAAGATAAGTATTTTAATTAATGTTAAAGAATAAAACGGTGGATATCCTCTCTCACCAACCTAATAAAAATATCAAATGATTCAAATAAGCTAAATGACTTGGAACATACATATTTAGCTATTTGTTTTTGGCTAATTTCTCAGGGAAAAAAAGTAATGTAAATACTTATAATCTTTTCTCCTGCATTTTTTAGACATTTGAGAGAATTAAAGAAAGAGAATAAATTCAATTCCGTACATTATTGGGCAAAGTATATATGTATGTTATTGTTATTTTTTATTTCTAGTAAAAATAATTTCCATTTGCCATGAATGTGATTTCAATTTAACCAAAAATGAAAACGATTATATATAATCTGTATGTTAATCTCGAAGAAATTTATTGTGTTTGATCTAAACCAAGGACAACCCAGTACTCCTTTAGTTGCCACTATTAGAGGCCAACAAAAATAAATGCATTTTCATTAATTAGTACCTTAATGGATTAAAAATGTTATAAATTGCACTCAAATATTTAATTTTGTAATAAATGCATCTATATTTATATTCAAAAAAATTATATTCGGTTTTTTAATTAAAACAAAAAATATGTCATGAATTTCACTGCCACTATCACCGTTCATATCAAACTTCATCTTCAACTTTACAAGACAAAAGGAAACCACGAAGAATCTTCCCATTTAATCATCTAGAAATAGTGCTACCCAAAATACAGTGAGGAGCTTATAGTAAAAGTTGGCCTCCTTTGACAAACTCATTTTTATGAATTGTGAGGTTTGACGCATTTTTATCAGTAGCATAAGGAGAAAACATTTTAATGTAAAAATTATTTACTAGTCAACTAATTAAACTTGTTGACCGAGGAAATTGTTTATGTTTTTAAATTCATAAAATTCAAAAAATAAAAAAGATGGTTTGCATAATTGATAAATTTTGATATGTTATCGTGAAAATTTTTTTAATAATAAAATAATTTTAAAGATGAGTTATAGTGAAAAATAGTTTTTGTCCGGGTGGTTCAAATTATAAAAAAAATTTCAATTTATTCAAATAATAAAAAGATAGATTTCAAAGTGTTTTTCATATGCTATAAAAAATTAGATTTCAAGTATTTTTCATAAGCTATAAAAAAAGTGTTTTCATTATTTTTTTTTTCAAAAGGTTAATTTTCGATTATTAAACTGAATCGAATAATAAAATAATATTATATTTATAAAAATTAGACATTTTACCATTACTTTAAGATCGTCATAGCAAATCCAATTGAATAATAAAAAATATTCTATTATTAAGAAACTACACATTTATCATTAATTCAAAACCATCATAACCTTTGATTGAAAACACTCTCTATCAATATGTACATAAAAATATGAATTACGACATAATTAAAGATAATGATGAGATCTCAACATGTATTCGTTTGAAAAATATAGAAATTAATTAGATTTCGTTTTTATGTAAATAGTTTTAAAAGTTAAAATGCAATAAAGTGGATTAAACCAAACTAATCAAGTGGGTATGATTTTGTCAACTTAAGCCAAACAATGAACACTCCTAATTAATTATTACACCCTAATTATATTTAATTAAAAAAAGAGAGAGAGAGAGAGTTGTGATAACCCCTAGCTGTGGCCCATGGATTCGGCTGTGTTCAGAGGCATCCAAGTGCTTGTGGTCAATCATGTCATCAACAACATAAAGGTAGAAATTTTTAAAAAAGAAGAGAAAAAGATGAATGAAGCATATGCCTTTCATTTCGGCCTTCGCTTTCAATCAGTTTTTTTCTTCTTTACATAAAGCCAACCTGTTTTCTTGCACCACATTTATTGTTAAGTCGAACAAAAGGGTCGGGCATTTAGGGGTGAACAGCTTTGCAACAACAATACAGGTTTTCTAGGATGGATTTTGGGCACGTCTTTTCCCAAATCAACCCCTGTCTCTTTTTTTATTTAATTTATGCAATTAATAATAATTAAATTAATAAAATTATTGGATCAATTTAATAAAAAATAAAAATATAATATTTAAAAAATTTTAAATTAATTTTTATTTTTTATTACATTCAATTAAATTTTTATATTTTTATTTTGAGTCAAATAGATCTTCACAAATAATTATTATTAATCAAAACGTCACTTATAATTTGATATTACATAATATTAACATGAAACGTTGATATATTATAGATAATATATAATGTGACATGTCAATATAGTATGATAACATAATCATGTGACATGTCAATAGTACATAACATAAAAAAGATACGTGACATTTTGATTAATTGATTAATGATAATTAATTACTAATATAATCATATTACCTTTTATTATAATGTCAAAAACTATACAATTAAAAAAATATATACAGGTATGATTTTTTCTTAATTCAACAAGGAAATTAAGGTGGGCTTTGAGGGACAATTACTTGGCAAAAAGTTGACTAATTATGTTTGCAATCAAAACCTCACCTAACCTAAGTATTTTGGTAAATAATGTGCTTAGATTGATACAATATTTTTGGGGAAATTTTAAAGTAGTACTTTTGTTTTTTGGATAATAAAGATCAATCAAACGATTAAAGTTTAATTTATGGTAGTGGGTCCATTGGATTTGTTGTTACTCAATCATCATTATAGAGTTATGACATGACATGTGTGCATGTATAAACAAAGACATGAGTATTTGGAATATTCCTTGGAGACCGAGAAAGACACAATAATTTAAAGGTGAGATGTTCAAATAACATAAAGTTGAAGATAAAAGTAAACAGTAGGGTGACACGTACACAATTAACACATCAATAAATCGATTTTGATAAAAAAATAATTTGGATTAATATATTAATATAAATAATAAATAATCATATATAAGTCTTCCTTTGACTTTATTTAAAGTATTTCATCTACTACAAATGTATTTTATAAACATTATTTATTACAACAAAAAGTCATGACCATGCAACACATCCATTAATGGAAACTTGTTATTGTAGTATATGAAGGATTGATCAAAAATATTATCTAAGGATAGTTTGTTTATTTTTTTTATAAAATTTATTTTTGAACAAGTGTTATTTTTTTATTATTACACTTAAGAAATTTTAATTAGACACTTTGACAATTTTAATACATTATGCCTTTAAAGAAATGTTACCAATTTTAACAAATTTGGAGACATTTTATTTATTTTAATTAAATAGTGAAAAAATTAATTTGCATTTATTAGCTTTGGAAAATATTGTAAAGAATTATTTCTTTATAAATTTATTTTTTTCTTGGGCAGTAATTTTGTCATAAAAGCGATTTTGTTCCTCTTTTTGTTATATTTTTATATAATAATCATCTATTTAAAAAATCAAAAAAGAAAAATAAAAAAGTAACAGTTACATCCCTTAATTTTCGGAACCGTTGGGGTTTCGTCATCATTCGGCTGGGGGCATTTTTGATTTTCAATTTTGCAGTTTATATGTTCACAAAGAGACGCTAGAGTTACCGTCCAAATCATCGAACGCACCGCTCTAAATCAATGAGAGCGTCACACGTGGGACATCATTCCTTTTCGAAAACCTACCGCCCTGTAAGTTTATCTCCATATGTTTTTTTAACACAAGTAAAAATAAAAAAAAACAATTAATGAATTCATTTTCTAAAACATTAATGCTGGAATGAAAATGAAAAATCACTGTTTGGGGGGAGACGTGAGAAGCTTCTTCTCTTCCCCAAACTGGCAGTTTCTTGAGGTAAAAAAGATTTTGATTAAAATAAAATTACAGTGCAAAATATAATTTGATGATAAATTATATAATTATTTCTTCTTATTATTATTATATAAAGTAGAATGAATTAGACTTTTATTTTCTGGAACTTATTCGTTGAACCATTTTTCTCGTAATTCATTTTCAGCTTTCAGGGCTAATCCAGATCGCCGATCTGATGAGCTAGTTCTTTATTTTTTGGTAAATTAAGAATTTCGAGCAGTTGGGTGGGTTTTGCTTAATTTTCGATAATTCCGCTGTCATTTTTGGCAGATGAAGTCTCATTTCTTTTATGAAATAAAATATTTTTTTAAAATTTGGTGAACCTTAATTTTACCATGATTATAAGAAGGACACTATGATAAAAATATAGTTAATTTAATTTTTTTGTGTTGTTTTGAGTTTGATCAATGAGTGAATTGCCAAATTCTATTCATGTTTTACAATTTTGGGTATAATATTTTTAGTTGAATTTTTTTTGGGGTGTTAAATTTGGATTTGCAGAGAATTGTGTGTTTGAGTTCCCGTTGAAAAACAATGGGGGTGATGTCAAGACGGGTTGTGCCCGTCTGCGGTAACCTCTGTTTCTTCTGCCCTTCGATGCGTGCAAGGTCTAGACAGCCTGTTAAAAGATACAAGAAGTTATTAGCTGACATTTTCCCCCGTAATCAGGTATTGTTTCAGCTCATCTTCTCACAATTTTTACTTGAATTTTGGGCATTCCGGACTAGTTTTCTCTTTCGTGTTTGGTTCCTCGAGGAAAAATTGGGTCTGGATATTTAGTGCAGCTTGTTCATAGTTTTGTACTGATTGATTGATGATCATTGGTCTGTTAAGTTCGGTTAAGTGTACTATGATAATAATATTGTCTTTATGTATAAAGCGATGACTTCAAAATATTAGTAGTTGATAATCTATTGTGAAAGACTGAAAGTTTACAGAAGTATAATTTGTATCTATCACAACTGCTGCTGCTATACTGGTTAATGGCTGCATAAATTTCTATTGATGGTGGTAGAAATTTTATACATTGTTGAATGAAACCAACATCGAAGAAGAAGAGGCAGTATTGGTAGTAGTGTCTTCTGAAAATTTGAAAATAAGGCATTTATGTGCTGCTTGCATGGTCTTGTCAGCTCTTGAAAGCTACTGTACCCCCTCATCTAATCCCAGACCCTGGGCAGAATAAGGGAGAAACGAAAAATTGAAAAAAAAAAAAATAAAGAAAGAAAAACAGTGTTTGATATGCTTACCATTTTTCCAATTACATTTGACAGGATGCTGAACCGAATGATAGGAAAATTGGGAAGCTTTGTGAATATGCTTTGAGGAACCCTTTACGAATACCAAAGGTATGGCTTTTCTTTTGGTTCAGTTAGTATCAATTCCTGATGGAGATTGATTCTAGTATGGAATTTCTAAATATTTTAATTTTTATCTGTTTGAAATGTTGGTTTGACAATTTTGTAGGCAAGTTCTTATATCTATTAATTTGGATAAAAATATGAAACTTATAAGTGAGAATGTGGCCAATTGTTTTTCATAATCTTGGTTTCAATTTTACGAAAGTTAGTTTCCTATGATATTTTCGAGTAGTTTAGGATTTAAATCTTGGTTTTTAAATGATTATTATATATATATATATTCTAAATTAAGGTGGTTTGCAATTTTTTTCCTGCAATGCTGGTAATTTTGTCAAGAAATGTTTAAAACTGATTGAAAATTTTGAATTGGTATCAATCTTGGCACAATTCAAATTAATAGATTTATCCTTGAGATGTTTGAAATTTTCTGTATCCCGTAATATATATGACTTTACTGAAGTGTCTGTTGATTTTTTTCTCACATCGCTAAATATGTTGTCTTCACAGATTACAGGTCAGCTAGAGCAAAGATGTTACAAGGATTTACGTAATGAGAACTTTGGATCTGTAAAAGTGGTACTGTGCATTTATAGGAAACTGCTATCGGCATGTAAGAAGCAGATGTAAGTTTGAAGTGTGGAAATTTGAACATTTAATTGATCTAAACACTTTCTGGCATCATTTTTCCGGCAAACTTTTTTCTGGGGTGAGCAGCTTGGAGAGGGGACTTTCAAAGAATGAACCACTGAATTTGGATAAAAAATTGTTAGGTAGAGCATTAGATTTGGCTTGTTATTGCACATTATTGCGACTTGTGTCCGAGGACCAAATCCTAGTAGGGTTTAAACATTAGAATATAGCTACTTATTAATTTATAGTCTATATAATTAACTTTCTTTTGTTATTGTACGAAGTTTTGCCTTGTGTTTGGTAGCATGGCAAGAACACCCAGTTAATTAACTGCGATTAATTCTCTACCAAATACCATAAGATTGATATAAGCTTTGGTAATGTGAAGAATGTCTACAATTATTCTTTTAGTTTTTTTCGTTTTATAATTATGGAGTTACATTTGTTTGATAAGTAATGATTTAATGCTTGTTATATTTTTGTTGGGCTATTATAGCACTTAGGTTCTGATGTCTTTATAGAACAAGTTCTTTCTTTTATTTATTAACTAAACTTTTTGAGGGTTTTGTTTTTTTTTTAAAGTTAATAACCATATTTTTTATAAAAAATAAACTGGGTTTATGATGTGGACAAGATCACGCTTTTTGAAGGATTGAATTGTTTTTTAAAAACTGTTTTAGTAATTTTATCTATTTCCATGGGTTCAATGTTAATTTAGAAGTTTGGGAATTAATAGGGCATTTAGGGTAATATTCATTGTTTCATATTTATGTTAATTTAGGAGGTAGACTTTAACTATAAATATGAGCTACGTTTCTATACTTATTATATGTGATATTCATGGGAGCACTTTATTCTTGCAGTCCACTTTTTGCTAGTAGTTTATTAGGGATCATTCGGACTCTTTTGGAGCAAACTCGACAGGATGAAATGCAAATTCTGGGTTGCAATGCTCTTGTAGAGTTCATAAATCGTCAGGTGTGTATGATGTAAAACAAAGCTCTGATCTGTTTGGTTCTATCAGTAGTATGAATATGCCAGTAGTACGTATATTGTGGCACTGGGTAACAGTTGCTAATTTGCCCTTAGAACTTTAAGCTTTCCATCATTGGGCTTTTACGTTTTTAAAGTAGACAACTTCTGGTGAAGGAGCTATTCACTGATCTGATGAGTGGACGGAGATCTGCAAAGGCTTATGGCAAACTGACTATAGACTGGATACTTTACATATTAGCTGTAACTAGTAAAGTTATTCTAATTGTATGGGATTTGAAACTAGGTGGACGGTACATACATGTTCAACTTAGAAGGCCTTATTCCTAAACTTTGTCAACTGGCTCAAGAAGATGGAGATGATGATAGGGCTTTGCGTTTACGTTCAGTAGGATTGCAAGTATTGGCTTCCATGGTAATGTTGTCTCTTTATATCTTGAAACATTTCACATAAGAAAACTCTTTTGGCTGAATACATGCACTTTCGTTAGTTCAAGCTAACTTTGTAGCCATAACTTTTCTTCTTTAGGACACATACATGCTTATGCAAACCGTCACTTGCTTTTTTTTTTTTTTTGGTATCTAATACTTGTTGGAGTTGTGTGCATGTCTTTCCAGTCTTGTCCTTATTGGCAATCTATCTACTCTGCTGATTTAGACTTGTTTCCAGGGATTTTACTTGTTTAATTACTGGCAATGACTACTGTTTACCTGTATATAAAAGTATGGGCTTTGTAAGATTATGATACAGCAGGTTGATTTAAATATTGTCAAGTAGCCTCTGCACTCTTCTACCTTTGTGCACAATCTAAATCCTCTGACAAAAGACATCATCTAAATTGAGGCTGGCTTGTGCAATATATTTTACTGGGAAGGGGCTTTGATTTTTTTGGGGTTGTGTTTCATAAAACTAGGTTAAGGTTGAAGGCTTAACGATTAGTTAACAGTTATAATGATTGAAGTTTTAGATTGACCTTTCTAGATTTGAAGGAAAGCGGTCCTATAATTTGTGGAGTGAAGGGAAGATTGAGGTTTTAGGACTAAACTAGTCTAAACTTTGTTACAAAAGGGTTAAGTTGATCAGGTGTTTTCGGGTTGAATTACAGCTTTATTTAACCTGTGAATAGCCTTATGTTGTAAACATTGAGTTGAATTGTAAACCTTTACAAGTCAGAATAAATAGGAGAATAATTCCTCAATTTTTCTTGTCAAGTTTTCCTTTTAAATAATTTCTTATTGGGAGATTGTATTCATTATTATCGTTTATTTCCTGTGCCTTTTTTCTCATGTAGTATTCTTGGTACTTGTATCTTGTTTTCTGTCACTTCCATTTCTGGTCACTTACTACTTTCTCTTTCCCATTTCTTGTGCCTAGGTCTGCTTCATGGGTGAGCACTCTCATATATCAATGGACTTTGATAGTGTAAGTTATCATTTCTTATGGTGGCTTTTCCTATAATTCCTTTTTTTTTATTCTCAAATGTTAGATGCATTCCTGATCTGATGTGATTTAACTGTGCAAATTTGGTGCTTGTTATTATAGTTGGAGTCTCTTTGGCCTCACTAGAGCTTCAATAAAAATAATATTGAAATAGATTTTTGAAATGATTACAAATAACTAAGTTTTATTTTTTTCCATCCAAAATTTGATTAATCTCTCTATCAGCTTCTTAGTTCAGCTAGAAGTTCCATTGTGGAGTTTCAGCTTTTAACCTCTTGAACCTCTTTTCAATAGTGGAAACTAAAGCACACACTTCACAAACAGATATGCAGCATGTATTGGCATTTTTTTTCATCTTAAATTCTTTTCCCATCTTGTATAGATCATCTCAGTGACCTTAGAAAACTACATGGATGTCCAAATCACCCCAGTCAATGCCAGTAAAGTGGAAGAAAATGGCTTTTCCTTCCCAGATACCAATGAGAAGGGCTCCTCCGCACCAAACCTTGTGATTAACTCTGACTTAGATCCAACCATGTAAGGCTCTATTTCAGTATTTCTCTTGCTGCATTCCATGCATTAGGAAAAATTTAAAGTTCAAATATCATCCATGCTTCATTTGGCTCTTTAACAGGGATACTTCGAAGAGTCCCTCTTACTGGGCAAGGGTTGTCTTACGTAATATTGCCAGATTGGCAAAAGAAGCTACAACTGTCCGGCGTGTGCTTGAACCTCTTTTTCATAACTTTGATGCTGAAAATCACTGGTCCCAAGAGAAGGGAGTTGCTTCTTCAGTTCTAATGTCCTTGCAGTTGCTTTTAGAAGAAACAGGTTAATTTGGGAGTTTTAACATGCATCCTTTATTAAATATCTTTTTTCTGAAAACGCTCTTGTAGATATAATAGTGTTTTTTTTAATGCCAGGAGAGAAGTCCCACCTATTATTGTCTATCCTGGTGAAGCACATGGAGCATAAGAATGTAGCCAAGCAACCTGATATACAAGTTAACATTGTCAATGTCATCACACAACTTGCACAGAATGCAAAGCCTCAGTCCTCAGTAGCAATCATTGGTGCAATAACTGACTTGATCAAGCATCTACGAAAATGCCTGCAAAATTCATCTGAATTATCAAGTTCTGGGGATGATATTGATAAATGTAACACTGATCTTCAATTGGGCTTGGAAAAGTGTATCTCACAGCTCTCAAATAAGGTTGGGAATATGTTCTTGTGATCATCCAGATTTTACTTGAATATGAATGATTATTATAAGATGCTTACAGAAGCTAGTTTTAGCATGTTATTCAAATGTTCTACCATTTAGTTGAAACTTATTATCTATATGTATTTGACAGGTTGGGGATGTGGGACCAATTCTTGATATGATGGCTGTGGTACTAGAGAATATTTCAACCAACAGTATTGTTGCCAGGACAACTATCTCTGCTGTTCATCGAACGGCTCAGATTATCTCTTCTATCCCAAACGTATCATATCACAAGAAGGTGAGTGTTCTTGTACAATATACTGTTATATTTGTTCTTATCTTGTATGTGCATCTAAGTTCTGACATTGTAATCTGCTCTAGGCTTTCCCTGATGCTCTATTTCACCAGTTGCTCCTCGCGATGGCCCACCCAGACCATGAAACTCGAGTTGGGGCAAATAGCATTTTCTCCGTTGTGCTTATGCCATCGTTGCTTTCACCTTGGTCTGATCAAAAGAAAATTACTTCTGAAGCTGTTTCTTGTGACTTATCATTTGCTGCATCCGAAAAGGTAAGGAATCATAGCTTCGCCTTTCAGGATGAAAGTAAAGACCAAGCAGAACACATTGATGGAAGACTAAAAGAAAATGGAAATCAAGCATCAGATATGGCTGTGAAAAAACCAATAATGTATCAGTCCCATGGGCGCTCATATAGCTTTAAGGATGTTCTGGGTGATGGAAAAATGGTGTGAAACCGCTGTCTCTCTGTTGCTTAGTGTTATTACCAATTCTGATACAATTTAGTTCTCTTACATCTCTGAATTTTTCAGCAGCTGAGTCACCTTCGATTAAGTAGCCATCAAGTGAGTCTTCTGCTTTCATCAATATGGGTCCAGGCGAATTCGGCTGAAAATACCCCTGCAAATTTTGAGGCTATGGCCCGTACCTACAGCATTGCTGTCTTGTTTACCCGGTCCAAGGTTAGCCATTATTTTACTGCCTTTGTTTCAAAATATTAGTCTCCTTCATTAATGCACAAGGTTCGAGAAATGTAGTCGATTTTTATTATATTACCTTACCCTTGATGATTGATTTATTTTGTTTTGTTTTTTTGGTGATGATGTATGATACAGTAAAGGGTAGAATAGTGAAACTGACAACAAGTGATTGTTACTTTTGGTAATGAACAAACATTTTGAAGCAACACAAATGAGAAGAATGGACAACTTTTTTTTATTTTTAATTTTTGGCAGAGAGAGTATCTGGTACTGGTAGTTGTGTTCAATTTGATTTTGTAAATGTCCTTTTCAAATATTGTACAAGTTCTTAGATCTCACCATGGATGCTTTCCATGAGTGTAGAAAGGCACAAAAAGAAAAATGCTTACTCTCCATGCACTCTCTTTCTAGTCATCGGCACAATCTACCATTTCTGTATAACAAGCAGAAAACTCAAAGTAAGATAGCAACGGTCAACCTTGTTGTTGCAAGCACCCAAGTTAGATTTATCAAGTGCTTTTCAACTTGTTTCTGCTATGAGGTGTGGCACGGGCCATGAATTGGGTTGTGATAGAATGTGGGTTTTACCTTGAGATTCTAAGAGGGATGTCCCTGATCTTCTGTGAAAGAAGATTCCTTCGTTATCTTTTGCGTTTTGCCTAGGAAACTTGTGACATATCTCTAATGCTATTAGATGTGACATATGTTTAATGCTATTAGAGCTTCTCTCTTTCCGTTTTGGTATCTATTCCTGAACTTGGTCTGTTGATTAATTTTGCTGATGACAGACCTCCAGTCACATGGCCCTAGTTCGGAGTTTTCAGCTCGCATTCTCCCTTAGGAGCATCTCTCTGGATCAAGAAGGTTTGTTGCATCTATCATTATTTGTAGTTATATTTTTCATAGAGTGAAAGAGCACAATGTTATACATATATACATGCAGTAGCACTATGCTCCTTGTCTGTTTGGTCAATTGGAAGCCTCATATACTGGATTATCACATACACTTCTGCAATCTTCTTTATCCTTGCTGGTTTTGTCTTAGAGATGCCATTTTAATATTGCTCACAGCCATCTCAAGCAACTAATGAAAGCTCTGGCTCAGCAAAGTTTATTCTTTTTATTGCCCTGGATATTTACTAAATAACTTATATTAATAATATATGATGCTATCCCTGTACAGCTGTGCCATCAATTAGAAGCCTTGTAGCACATGCATTGACATGCTTGCATATTCACGTCAAGGATTATTCCATATACTTACCTTATCTTTTATATCCTAGCTGATTTTGTATAAAAATGCTCCCTTAATGTTTCTGGCAATCAACATAAAGGGAAAAATGAAATAGAAGCTTAGGTTTATAATTTATGATTCTTTTCTTCACTCCTTTTTTATTGAGGAAATCGTATCTATATGAGCATTTAATGCCACTGGCTAAAGATGGTGTCAAACCAATTTGGTCTTCTTTCAAAGAATTTAATCTGAGTTTATCTTTTGGGCTTTTACTGAATTCAAACTTCATTTTCCTCTTTTTCTCCCTCATATCATCAAACAGCAATTCATATTGTATAACATTTACATAACTGCACTGGCTTTGTTTTCTCTGATAATTTATTTTAATACTTATATTAAATAATTAAAATGATTGCTTTTTATTTTTATCATGCCTAGTGGGTGCAGAAAGGGCTAGTTAAAGGTGTGTGTAAGATCATGCATGTAATGGTAAAAATGGTAGCACCGAAAGATGGTTACCACTGAATATCCTTTTTTCTAATCTGTGGTTAGGAGAAAAAATTAATCTTCACAATGTTTATCCTTAGGATGTGGGCCTTGTTGCCTAATTTCTGTAGGCTTGTTAAATTTGGTAAAAACTTCTCCTGACATTTGTGTCTTGCATGCTTGTTGAAGGAGGTTTACAACCATCTCGCAGAAGGTCTCTCTTTACTTTGGCATCCTACATGCTTATTTTCTCAGCTAGGGCAGGCAATCTCCCAGAGTTAATTCCTATTGTCAAAGCATCTCTGACAGATAAAACGGTCATTTTCTTATCCTTAATCTATAGGAGAATGCCATTTCTATTGTTATAGCACTTGGTACAATCACTTTTTTTTTTTTTTGAGTCGACAGGCTGATATTTGAGTTTATCATCCTTTGCATAGGTTGATCCTTATCTCAAGTTAGTTGAAGATATCCAACTTCAGGCTGTTTGTGTGAAATCTGATGTGGATGGCGTTGCATATGGATCAAAGGAAGATGATCTTGCTGCATCAAAATTCCTCTTGTCAATAGAGCCAGATCCTCATTTGAAGGAGACTGTCATCTCCCATTTAATGACGAGATTTGAGAAATTGTCAGAGGTGATTTATCAGTTTCTTGATTATTACTTTATTTTGAGGTTTATAGTGTGTCGGCTTCGCTAGCTCTACTGAAGTTTAGAAGTATCTACAACTGGAAATGACAAACTGTTACACCATCAGAGGTGGAGTGAGGGGGTGGTTCCTTTGGTTTTGATAATGTTACATTGACATAGAATTTCTTTTTTGTAGTAATTAATGACAGTGTTGAACATAGGTGCTTTGGACTGGGTGATTGAGGATTCTTCATTTAATAAACATTTTATAAGAAAGGTTTTGGCTGTGAGCAGCTACTGTTGTTAACTAATAGGAAAAATTATCTGAAAACAGAAAGTGTTAGGAGTAATGTTACTTCGAATGCTGGCAGCTGCCGCATTTGATGAGATATAAGATGAAAGTGTATGAAGACAAGAAAAGATCTGGATAAAATGAGGGAATATAATCTTAACTTGCAAAATGCTTATCATCACTGAGTTATTGTTCCTCCCCCCTGCCCCCCACCTTTCTGGTGTGTGGCTTGTAAAAGGGTAATAACAACATTACCAATGGTCTTAGATTGCTATGGTAACGAGGTCGATTTAGTCTTCTATGATTAGTTGTTGTATGTTATTAAGTTGTTCCATTTTTCACATGAAAAGAATTAATAGCATTTATGGGAGCTTGTTTGCAACAAGATTCATATTATCCCTTGTGTGTTTCTTCCAGGATGAATTGTCAAGTATAAAGAAACAACTTCTGCAGGGCTTTTCACCAGATGATGCATATCCATTAGGTGCTCCATTATTTATGGAGACACCAAGACCATGTTCCCCTCTTGCGCAGATGGGGTTTCAGGCATTTGAAGAGGTAGATCTTGTTCAGATTACATTCTCTTCCTTAACTCTGTGACATAGTTTGGTTGACTTGATTTGCTTTCAGATTTTGCCTTTGGCTGCAATGACAGATGAAGAAGCCTTCCCTGAAGCCAATGGAAGTCAGTCAGATCGCAAAACATCATTATCTATCAGTACGCTAGATGTTTTAAGTGTGAACGAGCTTTTGGATTCGGTAAGATGAGTATTAATATGTTTTTATTAGTTTTTATATTTTGATTATAGTTTGTAAATGAATTGGGAAACAATATAAACGGGTGGTATGCCTTTATTCAACACCATTGTTGACCAAGCTGCTTATGCTTTTGATCCTTCATCTTGTTTTTCAGAGTGTGCATGAATAATTTTGGACATTTTGGAACATAAATTTGGGTTGGGATAATAAACTAGGTTTGGGAGTCACATTATGAATAGGTTACTTTGTGTTGTTACCTTATGTTGAGTGCTTCTAGAAAGGCGTGGTGTTAGCATAAAAATATAAGTTGCAAAAATGTCAGCTCCAGGACCATTATGCTCATGCATGGATGATTTTTTGGGTAGAGATGAAAACCTACTAAACTAAACCTTGAAGGGGTTTCAATTTTGGCCAAAGATTCTAAATTTCCTATGTATTTCTCAACTATCTAGCACATATTCTCAAGCTTCACTATGCAGAAGTTGTTGAAACTGAAAGGTAAATTTAGACAACTATGAATAGTTGAGATTTTAGATTTTCTTTTTAATACCTGGCCAAAAGGGATATGGAACATATTTTGTGTAGAGTCACAGTACAGAATATGATGCTGTCATAATTAACTTAACAAAAAATAGCAAATTAAAACCAAATTGAAACTTTTATGCACTTGTATGTGCAAACACATATGTAAAGTGGTTGGATGGGTTTGTATCACTCCGACATGCTGACTCTTTATTAAATGGTTTAAGTGAGTTAAAAGTTGTGCATTAAAAACTGACTTCTTTTCTATTTCACTCTGCTCTCTATTAACATTACTTTGGTTAGATTGAAATATAAAAACTATTTAATAGTAATTCATTTATTTTTATCACACCAGTATTATGTAGATGCTGACAAAAAATATAAATAAGAAAAAGGTACTTGAAAAGACTGTAAAAGAATAGGTGAAATATATTTCTGTTGATATGTATAAGAGTTACAAAGATATTGCTAAAGCATTCCCCTTGATTGCTATAGAGTGATCTTGAGTTCCTAAAGTTATCTTGGCTGTTGAGAGGCTTGTCTTTCTTCATCTGAGGAGGAGTTGTTATACTTACAAAATATTAAATGGATGCAGACTACTTTGTGATTGTGGGATTATGTGGGGATTTAACAATTGCATCTTGTCCAAAGTAATAGTTGTTGCTACATGATAGTGCAGTTTTGGTGTCTTTATTTTGTTGTAGGATTATTGAACTTTTGCATTTACTTAAGGCTCTGTTTGGTAACCGAAATTAACTTGTTAAGGGAAAATTTGTTCTGTGAAAAGCATTTTACTGGAAAATCCAATATTTTCTTTTCTGTGGATAAACTAAGCGAAATATTTTCTGTTGTTTGAATCACCCTGTAAAAAATAGTTTCCACCATGACTTATCTTCAAAAATTTTCCACATGACACCATAAAACATCAACATTTATCAATTTCCAACCATTGAAACCCATCAAAACACTAGAAAATCAACACTAAAAAAAAAAAAACATAACTCCAATATCCAAAATAATTTCCAATAAGTATAAAAAGTAATCACAGCCAGCGAAGCCTGAAAATCCAACCTCAAAAACCAACAGAAAATCCACAAAAAAAAAGCAAAAAGAAAAGAAAGAAAAAGAAAAAAGAAAAATCAGTTCTAAAATGGCGGGAACAAGTATAATGAACATCAGCTGTTGTTAGCACTATAAAAATTTCAATATTCAATTATCGAAAACGGAAATGGATTAATCGATTAAAAATAACTGAAAATGCATTTAAACATTGAGGATCTGAAAATCGGAACTTTGAAAAAGAGAGAGATTTTGATGCTGAAGTTGAAGCTAAAGCGAGCGAAGATTTGTGGAAAGAAGAAGCAAAAGAGTGATTTGAAGCTGAACTAAAGCTGAAGCAAAAGATACCTGACAACAGAGAAAAAGTAAAAATCTATGAAATAACGAAGGAAGAGGGAAGAGCAAAAGAAAAGAGAGGGAAGAATCATGGGAGATCTATGAATATCATGGTGGCTGGTGATGGAGATAGGTTTGGAGTAGCTTGTGGGTTTGTTGAGGGAGATAGGAGCAAAAGTGTGGTGAAGTCTTTTTGAAATTGTCTTACATTGTGAAAAAAGGGAAGACAATTTCCTGTGTTTTGCTCTAAGTTTTTCATTGCCTGGAAATTATTTTCAGTTGACCAAGCTATATTCCCCTTTCCTAACACTGGAAAATGAGGAAATTGCCTTCCAGAACCATTTTCAAGGTTATGAAATGGAGCTTTTACCTAAAAATCTTGTCAGACCACTTCGTTTTCCCTCGCTGTGCAGGCTTTGTCTGAAAAGCAAAGTGCATGTATAGGCATACAACATATAAACACGTATTATAGTGCATGCTAGACAAGTTAATAAATAATATAAACTTTATGCCATATTTTGACAAACTGGTAAATTGAGTTGTGTCAGATCAAATGGTTTTTAGTGTTACCATACTTATTTATCTTTTGCTGTGCAATATGTTTGGTTCTGTTTGAAATTCTTTCGAATGTCCCTAATTTGATTTGGTTGGGAACTTGAGAATGTTTTTTCTCAAAATTGAAAAAAATATGAACTCATGAATAATCCCCCCCCTCCCCACTCTTGTTTTCTGTGAGACGTTTGGGAGTGCAGATAAGATGGTCTTGAATTAGATTTTTGATATTAAGTTTGAGGAAGGGCAGAATTTAACAAGAGTGGTCTGTTCCCATTTAGATAATTGAACTTGGAAGGAAACAGAAAACAAGACAGCAGTATGTGGGACTGATATCAGTGGATTTATCCTTTAAGTGTATACATGTTCTGTCAGGTGTATTTACTGCTCATATCTTAATTAAAAGACCAAAATTTGTCATTACTAGGGGCTGGGATGATTATATCTTTTTCTGGCTGTGGGTCCAGAGAACCAGTTTTCACATTCATTATATTTTAACCCCCATTATGTCTCGGGATATTTATCAAACTTTCATTTTCTGACAAAGTATATCGGTTTGTTACTCCAATAGGTTCTGGAAACAGCCCGACAAGTTGCAAGCTTTTCAGTTTCCCCTACACCCATTCCTTATGACCAAATGAAGAGTCAGTGTGAGGCTCTTGTAACGGGTAAACAGCAGAAGATGTCAGTGCTTCATAGCTTCAAGCATCAACAGGATGCCAACGCGACCTTGGAGGAAACTGAAAAGGAAGTCCTCTATTTACCAAGTGTGGTGAGTTGGTCTACGCACATGACAAATATCTTTATGAATATCTTAATTTCTTGAATGGAATCTTTAATTATCCTTTAATCGTTTCCACTTTCTCCCTTAAGCAAAAGCATAACCTGTAATCATCATGTTTCAGTACCATTGATAATGTTATACATAAAAAATAACAGTAGTATGATTGGTGATAGTTAATAGTATGAATTAGAAGAAAATAAAAAACAATAACAACAATAGTTTTTTCTGATATTTTTTCAATTTATAGTGGTTTCTGTTATAGGTTAAATTCCAGAAAATTCTTTCAATTTCCAACTAAAATGATTTCTTAGTAGTTTCAAGACAGCAGTATCTTTTCTGTTGTTATGATGCTTGCATAACTTGTGGTTCCTTTAGCAAAATAATGGCCATATGTGTTTGGTTTATTGAAGCTAAATGCAAATTCATCCTGATTAAGATGGTAACCCTTCCTTCAAAATTCATTAACCTGTCTGGTAATTTGTCATTTGCCCAAAATCTGAGAGGAAGAAAGGAATTACATGATTTGGATACATTTTTTATGTCCTTGATTTTAAATTGGGTTTGTCTATTAGACTGCACATGATTGGAAAAGACTTTTTCTCCCTTGTGCTTTTGAAGAGTTCAAGATATGGGAATCTTTGTCAAATTATGTGTTAAGGAATTGGCGTGCACTAACAGCATGAGTTTAATCTATTAAATAATGTTGATGCAACCAATAATAGTAATTTTTTTCGTGGATGGTTATCTTCTATTTCAGAAAATGGAGTTTTCTGAAGATCGGATGTTAATTAGCAGGGAGCAAGGTCACGTAATGGGACAGCTTGCTCTCTGTTCACATGAATTCGGGCAACATTCTTTCAGATTACCACCATCAAGCCCCTATGACAAGTTCTTGAAAGCAGCTGGATGCTAAAGAGGTTGGGTGTGTTTTATACATGAATATAGATATATATATATATATATATGTAACAGTCTATATATTTTACATTTCTTCCTTTTTCCATTCCAGACAACTGTCAATTCTTTTCATATTTTTTGTTGCCGTGGAAGCTCATTCTAGGCATTTTCTACCTTGTCACACCAAAATGGAAGAAGAGACTAGGGGAGGGGGTAGGATGGGCATGATATGGTGTTGCTTGAACAAAAATATTTCTTAATGTTTAGAGCACGAACTCCACTCCAGCATATTGTACAAGAAGAGCAATCTAGGACTCAGATTCTTCGTATGACTTAATGTAATTTTATCCTTTGCAAGTTTTGGCTTCCCCTCCCTTTTGTGTAAATTCCAACATTTAGCAGTTGATGAACCAAGCAAGGTGTGTACATTTAAAGTTGTATGTGTCCTAATTATCTCCTTATTTTTCTTTTCCTTTGAAATTGTATGTAGAAATTGGTGGATGATTTTTCTGTTCTTTTTCTTCTTCATTATTATTATTATTATTATTATTATTATTATTTTTATAGAAAGAATCCATCAATGTGCAATCAATCAGCAAAGTGTGGAAAATGCTGAATTATGGGTGAACGTCAAGCAGATGAGATTCATCGGTGATGCATCCATTGTGAGAGTTTTTCTTTTTTCTTTTTTTTTTTAACATAGTCGTTGAAAATGTCATTAAACTCTTCAAGAAAATTTAAATAAATTTTTATTTTTAATTAAATAAATTTTAATAATAATGATTAATTAATTAATTATTTTACATTTATGTGATGTCGACAACAATTATATCATCACATGATAATAATATATTATATTTTTATCAATTATAATATGTTAATATATTACATCAATATTAATAATTTTTTATTAATAATAATTAATTTAATTTAAAAAATATATAAAAATTTGATTGAATTTTTATTTAAATATTTTTAAGTATTATTTTTTTATTAGTATTATTCATTTCTTTCATTGAATATGAAAATACATAATTTTCCATCAGATAAATATAATTTGTTTTTAAAAATTGAATGTTTTATTTGCTTTTCAAATATTATATATGTATATATATCTTTAAGTATATAAATAGAAACTGACTTATTTTTTCTTTAAATTATAGATAAATTACTTAATGATGGACATAAACATAGGCAAGGTACAAAACAAGTGTGAAATGTGAAGTAAAGAGCTTTGTTGTCCCCTCCCTTTTGAAGTAAACACCCAACAAACCAAGTTATTCCAATTTTTTTTACCAAATAAAAAAAAAAGGGAAAATGAAGAGTTTATACCAAGCCATCCTTAAAAATTACACGTAAGCCGCTCTTCGCATTCCCAAACACCGAGCCTGTCGGTTTACTGACAAACTTAACGTGTTTTCCGCCGACGTGGGTGAGAGAGAATATTGAAAAGGAAATCCAACTACTGAAGAAAAAGATTAAAATTTCCCGTCTCCATTTCTCATCAAACTTTCCTTCCTTCAGGAAAGAGAAAGAAAAAAATTTTTTGTTTTCAATTTTTTCTTTCTCTTTCTCTTTCTTCTTCTCTTTCGCTCCACCACACCATCATGTCGTTTCCTCCGGGAAGCGGACGCCGCTTTTCAGCGGCTCTTCCTTTGTTGTTTCTCTTGGCTCTGTCGTTTGCTGTTGCCGCCACCGCCGACGGTGCCTCCCAGGACGATGGCCCTCAGTTACCTTCCTGTAACAATCCGTTCAAATTGGTAATTTTGAATCAATTTCATTTTATTATTATTATTTACGACATTTCGAAATGCTTTGGCATTGTGTTTTGTTCTATATATAATTGGTTAATTTTCGATCTGGATTTCGAAATAATTCGGAATAGTTCCAAATTTAATTTGCTCCATTAATATTTTGTTTCTTAATTTTTAGGGTCTGAGTGAAGGAGATGGATATAAATAGAAAGAATAAAATTATTTCCTTTTTCTTTAATTGGAGAAACCAAGTTGGTTTGGATAGATTCAGTTTTGATTTCTGTGGGATTTTTCACTGACAATAGAATTGAAGTTGGGTATATTGGGATATTGTTTTATCCAAAGAAATAAAGAAGTTGGGATATTGATATTGGCTGCAGCCAACATGCCCGCAGGTGGCGAATTCCATAGGCAAATTATAGCAAACATGATTCTGGGAAAAAGAATTCGAATAATCTGCTTGATTGGGATTTTTTAACAAGATAGAGAGTCGAAGAAGTAGGGGTCTTCTGGGATTTGCATTTGTACAAAAAGGGGTTTAGGATTGTTATAAAGTGGAAGGTGGTTGGTAGTTGAAGGTTATTTTTTACTTTATAAAGGAAAAATTGAACTAGTTGCTACTAATTTGAAACAAGGGAGTGCTGAAGAGTGCAAAAATGTATATGAAGAGAGGTTTTCATTAGGAACATTAAGCCTGCTGCAAACTAGTACTGTTAGGTAAAAAGTAGTGAAAGTTAATTATTTAGGAAGGCAAGGACCAACCTTGAAAATGTGGGTTCCTAGGATGCAGGAAATTGGTGTGGTTATATAATGGTTATAGGTGGAAAACAATGTTGTCTACCTGTTGTTTAGTGAAAATTTTGAGTTTTTGTTTGTGATCTGAAGGTTTTGACTGTTATTTGGTGGTTCCACAATATTATGAAAGAAGCTGATTACTTTATCAGTGGTTGTTGAAACTCATTTTAGGGAAAGATAGATAAATTAGAAGTAGCGAGTGTGATTTTTGGCATGGTAGGCTCTTCCTTAATAGAGTTCAAAAGATTAATATATGTTTACCCTAATTCCTTAATAAATTGTGTTCAAATCTTCCAGGTTAAGGTGAAGATCTGGGTTGACGGCGTTGAAGGTGAAGATTTAGCTGGTTTAACTGCAAGCTTTGGAGCTTCATTGCCCGAGGAGGCCAGCAAAAGTCCCAAATTGCCTGCTGTTTTCTCAAATCCCCTAAATGGCTGTTCTAAATCTTCTTCGGAGGTTCTGTCCCAATTTATCATGCTCTCACAAAATTTTTGGTCAACTTGCCTTTCCAAGAATTGTTTGGCTTTTTTGTAATTAGTTGGAGCACATTTTTGTTAGATTAAGTTAAGTATAGTGAACTTTATAAAGCACATGCTCTAAACTTCTCTAAGTTCTGGGAGGACCACGGGAACCTATGAAGTTGGGAAGAATTTTGAAGATTTGAGATAATACTTTATTAAAATTTAGAATAAAGTTAAACGGTTGCATACGCACTATTATCTGATGTAAGCGAAATGAAAAGTTTTGAAGCATCATGGTTAGAATTTTCTGCTTTCAGCTCTCTGGCTCTGTAGCCTTGTCTACACGTGGTGATTGTGACTTCACGACTAAGGCTAAAGTTGCACAGTCAGGAGGCGCTGCTGCCTTGCTGGTGATAAATGACAAAGAAGGTTATATGTTTTTGTTTGCTGGCATGTGCTATTTGTATTTAAATTTTGTTTTGAAGTTCAATTTGGATGATTGATTAAAAGAATGCAATGGTTTATTAGTCTCTTACATAAGCTTCCATTTTTTGTAATTTCTCCAGAGCTTTACAAGATGGTTTGTTCTGAGAACGATACTTCTTTAAATATTTCAATACCTGTTGTGATGGTTCCAAAATCAGCGGGAGATGTGGTTAACAAAACTATGGCAGACAAACATGGTAAGCACTTGATATCATGAGCTAACATGATATATATCTTTTTTTTTTATCTACTTTTAGTTTTATTCTTAAGATATGTATTAGCTATTTCCTTTTCAAAAAAGGAATGTCTTAGCTATTTCCTAGATTGTTAGAAACATGGATCTCTTGTCAAGAAAGTGTTAATGATGGATTAAATACACTTATGCCTCTAGATCTTATCAGGGGTGGGGCTACATTATACAGGAAAATAGTAGACCTGCCAAACACAACTAGCTTTTGATTAAGGCTTACTTGATTGAGTTGAGTGTAGAAACATGTCTAACCTATTGTTTGGCACAGCTTTAGAGAGAATGTGCTAACATTTTCCCAAAAAACTTGACCATCATTGGTTAGTCAAGTAATGATTTTGAATGGTTCAAGTCTAACTGAAGAGATTGTCTAATGCCATTAATGAATATAAGGATTGTCATTTTGGGGTTATATATATGTGTGTTTCAGAATGTGCAGGTTTTGTGTGTTGATGCATGTATGCATCTACATGTGTCAGTGTGAGCAAACTTTAAGCTATCTAATTGTTTATTTTTCAGTTTTAAAAGATAGGAAAATTTTTTATGTTACTAAACAAAATCTTTGATGTAATTTCCCTCATTGATGAACTTTAAATATAAGAATTTGTGGCTTTCTGCTTTCAACATTGGCATGATCTGAACTTTCACTAAATTAGTTCCCTTTCTTTTGAATTGTCAACCAAAAAAATATATATATACAATTTGGAATTTAAGATTAGAATGCCTTATCTGAGTTGAGTGCGGCACTATTCTGGCAGAAGCTTTGAGGGGATGGGATGCTATGCAGGCTAAAAATTAATCCATTGAAAGTTAAGAAAATAAGTGAAATAGTGATAGAATGAATCATATGTCTGAAATAGCTATTGCAGGTTCCACTTCAATTTGCTTCAGTTTGCAACATCTATTCCCAACAAGGTTCATGTTATCATGTCTATATTTTCATTCTCTTTTTTAAACCCTGAAATCCCAAATTAAGCCAATGTCTTGGGACCAAAACTTACCCAGCAATTCCCAGCTGAATTCGAACTTGGTTGCTATAATAAGTCCTAGTCCTTTAGTTGAGGTTCACACTTTTGCTTTGGTTCTCTACATGAGGTTCAAGCTTTTGCCCTGATTTTATTTAAGGTTCTATCTTTTTCTATTAAAGTTCTATTTCTTTTATGGGACAATAGTTTTCCAACACTTGAATATTTAAGAAAGAATAAAGATTTTATTTATATATTTTACATAAAAATACTAATATATAGAGTTTGCTCATAGTTCATTGTTGGAGCCTTCTCTCTTTCAAATCTAGATAAGGTTCTAGAATACTATAAATTGATTGCATTCATTAATATTTGATACCATACTGGGGCCTTAGAGATATCAACTCATTGAAGCGCACAGAATATTAGGTTAACGATTACGAATTTGCTTCTGTTTAACCCTAGTGATTGCTAAAGGATCCTTTGCTTTGAAACAGATTCTGAATTCATTACTATAAGTTTATGAATTACTTCAGTTTGGTTCATCTTGATTACAACTCTCCACTCTCACCCAGCCAATGATTTGAACTGACTTAATCATTTTTATATTGTCAACAACGAATACTTCATCTATGAATTTTGTTATCTGAACTGATTCTAAAAGTGAGATGTATGATGTCTAATTGCTATTAAGATTTGAAAGTTTTATTACCAACATATTGATCAAGTTTACAGAAACTTTGCACATATTGACTAAAATAAATGCTAAATGTTCCTCACAATTTTGAGAAGAGTGATTTGGCATTTGATTCGATGCTTT